AGAAACGTAGCTTACTTCAAGATGCCCGATGGCGTATTTTGGTACAGAGGAGAGACCGTATTTTACTTTTAAAGCAGTCACGCGGTCGAGCTGCTTCTTTTGGCTATAAGAGAATCGGGAGAGAAAGAGAAAGTAAAAAAAAGAAAATCTTGCATGAGTGAACCCGAAGGCGTCCCTTTGTGTTCGCGTTGAGCAGATTTGATGGTTTTCCATTGCTTTTCAGCCGTCAGGCGGTAACAAAACGAGTTCCTCTTCACGCCAGTTGAAACTGGAACAAAAGAGAAAGTTTTCCGCTCTGCGCCTCCCTTTTCTCTTCAGCCAGCGGGCGGGACCTGTGGAGGTTCCGGGGTTCAGCGTCACTTTGGTGACGTCATCACGTTGCTTCCGGCCGCAGGGAATCATGGGAAATGAAGTCTCTGTTTGGCTCTGATCTCAATATGCCATTTATTCACGCTTCAGGGCGTTTTTGGCACAGTCTTTTGGAGAAAAATACTGCATAGTAATTTCCTCATGAGGGCAGACCCTCAACACATACGCCAATTGTCGTCGCATTCCAAGAGGACACGCCAAACGTCCGCTTGGTTCCGGATCTGCGAGTGTGTTCCCTCACATGTGGCCTTCACTTTTTATGTCTAGGCACCCCTTTTCTGCGCGGCAGAGCCAATGGTGTGTGTGGTATAGATGAGTTGTCTGGAGATTATCACTGTCCTATGACTGAAACTCCATGCTTGCATGTGATTCAGACTCTCAACCAATCAGAGACCAGCACTGTTTTCCCGCCTTTTCCCCCAAGAGCCTGCAGCTGTACTCCTGTTAATGAGAGAAGCCTTTAAATCTGTCCTTCAGAAGTGAAATTGGACCTGTCAAACTTCTCATGACCATTCTAAAATTGCTGCACCGATTTGAAAAATTCAAAAAGCGTGAGCGGCAGAAGGCTTTGATGGTCATCTGTGTGAATTTTTATGTGCCTACCATGAACTGTCTAGAGAAGCTATGACGAGAACATTTTAGCTGTCTGAAGCTGACCGGTTCCTTTAACATGGGTTTCAATGAGACAGAATCAGGTTCTCTCCTCCTTCAGAGGCTTTTAGAGAAAGAACCGTATCACTTACAGATAAAATGAAACCCATTCTGAAAGGCTGACAAAAATTCCTACTTTTTGAGATATAATTTGTTTCGGTACTCCAAACGGTCTGGGTGTTGGAAGAGTTGTTTCCAGAAAATGTGAAGGTCAAAAGTTAGAGTGCGGAATTTTCAGTTTAGAGTGGTGGGAAGCTTTTTTTTTATTTAAATATTCTCAAACAAATGAACCGTACGACCACAATCTTTGGAGTACATTCATGATTTATAGCTCAAAACGAAGGTATATCTGTTAGCTGCAAGCCAGCGTGTGTCTCATTCCAATCTGACTTACGGTTTTCTCAGGACAATGCCAGAAATGGAGCAAAGGAGGGTCATTGCTCCTATCTCTGCCCATTATAATTTTTTGAGATTTTTCTGAAAATCTCAAGCCGTACCTCAACTTCTACCTGCGATTTTAGAAAAACTGTAATAGTTATGTAAAGGATTTTTAACCAGTAATAGCTGAAAGTCTTGGGAGTTTGTTGAAACTTGAATGAAGTATCTCGGTTAAAGTTAACCTATAAGAGTAAGAGTTCAAAAAGTGATAGGATTTAGCTGAAAATTGAGCAATCCCATTCATTTCAATGGAACCAAAATCGCAGAAAAAGCTGAATATCTCAGAAAGTATAAAATATTTTAATAACAAAGTCATTGCCAGCATAAGCTGAACGAGCTGAACGTTTTGATACCAAATTGTGTGAATAGTGAAGAATTGTGGAAGTAGTTAAATGCAAAAAAAGTACGGAAGCAGAATAATAATAAACCGACTATAAAGAGAAACAGGATCACTATAGTTTGAATACTTTGCAGCATTCAAACAATTACCAGTTTGATCAGGCTGGATTAGCAAGTAACTTCTGCGCTAAGTGGAGATCAGCGTTTCCTGTCTCATGTAACACAAGCTTTACCAACAGTGGCACAATCACTTAAAGGATGTGACAAAATCACACGTTTAAATGTATTTACCTTTCAATATCAACAAACAGTTAATCTCTTGCAGTTTTAGCTGTAGCTTTCTTATCGACACACAGAATTTGAGTGACAAAGGAGAGTAGCACCCCTGGTGGTGGGGACGGGAGTCTCCCTGGTTGTGAAATAGGTAGGGGCAGCGTCCCCTGGTGGCGAATAATGAGATTGCCCTCGTTTTCCACCCAGACAGAAAATAATAGTTTTTTGAAGAATTAATGAATCAGAACCAACATGAAGTGGACAATTTTAATACATCTGGCCGGAATTCGCCAATATGTAGGATTTGGTAAATTGAGTGCTTTAAGAGCTCAATATATTACCTCTACTTATGACCAATAAGCTGTGATACTCTATATAAATATAGAATATCAACCTGCTTGGTCTTTGTGTGTTTAATCAGAAGATTCTATGATTCTTTGTTTTATTCAGGGATTGTAAACACTTTGTTTTGGTTCAAGGAAAGTGTCAGGTTTGTAAAAGTAAGACTTTATTTCCCAAACAATTAAAACATGAGAAGTTAACTAATATTTACTGTGATGGATGAATCTAGATGGAGTAGATGTAGTATATGGTGCCTATGTGTGAATGCGATGTTATCAGAACTTCCTGATAGGGCCACTCCACTGAAACTGCTCTGTTAGCAGTGACGGAATCCTTAAAAGAAGCTAGAGCGACTGCCAAATCCTCAGTGCTTATCCTGCTCAACTTATCAGCTGCATTTGACACTGTCAACCATGGCTTCCTTTTGTCCACACTCTCTAGCATGGGCATCACAGAGAAACCACACGCCTGGTTTGAATCGTACCTCACAGGACGATCATTCAGTGTATCTTGGCTTGGACAATCCTCTACCGTGCACCATTTTGCCACAGGAGTCCCCCAGGGCTCTGTACTAGGACCTCTTCTCTTTGCCACATACACCACCTCATTGGGTGAGACCATTCGATCACATGGCTTCTCCTACCACTGCTATGCAGACGACACCCAGCTCTAGCTGTCATTTCCACCGGACGACCACACTATCTCAGCACGAATATCAAACTGTCTCACTGACAGATCAAAATGGATGAAATCCCACCATCTCCAACTCAACCTCTCTAAAACTGAACTACTTCTCATCCCAGCAAAACCATCCATACAGCACAATATCTCAATCCAGAATGACTTCCTATCTCTGGCTCCTTCAAAGGCAGTTCGAAATCTGGGTGTTGTGATTGATGAACACCTGACCTTTAAAGATCATGTTGCCTCTGTTGCTCGTTCATGCCACTTTGCGCTGTATAACATACGAAAGATCAGACCATACCTAACACAACATGCCACCCAGCTCCTGGTGCAATCTACTGTCATCTCCCGCCTCGATTACTGCAACGCCCTTCTAACTGGTCTTCCAGGATGTACTGTGAGACCTCTTCAAATGGTCCAGAATGCAGCAGCACGTCTGGTCTTCAATCAGCCAAAAAGAGCACACGTCACCCCTCTGTTCATTGAGCTCCACTGGCTACCGCTAGCAGCATGCATCAAATTCAAATTGCTAACACTAGCATACAAAGACCGAGATGGTACGGCTCCCATCTACCTGAATCCTCTTGCTAAGGCTTACGTCTCGGCCCGGCCGCTCCAGTCATCACAGGATGGTCGGCTAGCAGTGCCTACACCACGCTCAGGACAATCCAGACTCTTCTCATGCATCGTTCCACAAATGTGGAATGACCTTCCAAGCACTACCAGAACAGGAGCTTCCTTTTCAATTTTCAAGAAACTCCTGAAGACCCTGCTCTTCAGAGAGCATCTTCTAAACTAGCACCCTCCCTCCCTCCCTCATGCTCACACATACACGTACAACGTAAGACTCACAAAAATGAACGCTAGACACCCACTCACGCTCCCCATACACACCCTATTCACTCTGGTGCCTGCCTGGAGTGCAGGCATCGTCTGGCCTACACCAGCTCGCAGAGCCCCAAGGAGTCCGAGGGCACCAACCCAGCAGAATATCTACTCCCTTCCCTACAATTGCACAACTTCCAGAACATATAAGATATAAGACATCCAGGTAAGGTTGGGTCATCCCCCTCCCCCGTGGACAGAATTATTATTTCAGAGGAGCCATGGTGCACCTGGGCCAGGTGCTGTCGCATGTTCCCGCCTTCTTCCTGGCAGCATACATGTCAGGACCTAATCCCCAAGGTCCCCCGCCCAGATCCCCACACATGCAGTTTATTGACAGGCTGGGGGAAGATGCTGAGTTGGGGTGAGATGTGGATGAGGTGACTATTCGCAGTGTCTGTTGTTACAGGGGTTGAGGTAGGCCAGAGTGGAATTGAGATGCGAGGGCTGAACAGCTCTGCCTGCAACTTTAAATTAATTTACAATTTCTTTTCAAGTATTTTTAATTTAGAATTTGATTTTTTAAGTTTTCTAAGTCTTTTTATTGCTTACATGGAGCGCACACACACACACACACACACACACACACACACACACACACACGCACACGTCTTGTCTGGTCTCTTCTCTGTAGTTGTCTGCTTGCATCCACTTCCTAGACTGGGAATGTAACACATCCACTGTATCTGCAAAAACAAATAGCAGCTGGAGGTTTTGTGTTTATTCTCCTTATTTTACATTCAATTGTGTTATTGGGATTTTATAAACATAATGTTTACAATTTTGATAACCTCACATTTTCAGCACAGACTAAATTGTGAGGACTTCCAGTGAACTTAAGTGAGGCTCTTGGAGGTTTGCAGACCCCTGATAGGAACCACTGCTGTAGAGTAGTGGCTGAGTGAATCCAACAGTTGTTTACCACGGACAAAGTCAGAGTGTTTTCTCTTAGATGTTTGTGTCCCCTCACTTTGCCTGGTAGCGTGCATTTAGCTAATGTGAGAAGGTCAGACAGGGAGGAAAATGGTTAGCCACATTTATTTTGAAACAAAACTGGAACCAGATTAGATCGTTGTTACAGAGTAGATTGGTCATGACTGGACTTCTCCCTAGTGAACCAGCACCCTCCCAGTTGCCTTACTGGTTTGTGCTCGAAAGACTGTCTCCAGCAGTGAAGCTGGACTGAAGATGAGTTGTTCCTCTCAAGCTTCAAACCCACCAAACAGGTTCTAATCTTCTCAGAAGGGTAGCTAATCTGCAGCAACACTCCAACACGAATGGAGTTTATAGTGTAGAGCCCAGCAGTGGGAGAAAGGATACACATCAAATATTTAAATCAATTCAAACACCATCTTGTCAGCAAATTTGATTACAAGTCCTCATTAAACATTAACAGGAGATAGTAATTATTAGGAAAAACAGTAGTGTCTTTCATACAGAACAGCTCAATCTTAAAGTCATCCATAACACAAGTCTGTCAAGAACCTCTTATAAAACTGGGGATTGGACGCTACTTGGAGCTGATATATTTGGAGTGATTGGTGGAAAACAAATGCTTTTATTTGCAGTGCAATTCTACAAAGGAGTGGAGATAAACATTTGAGCTACAGGTTTTCTCCTGCTATACTGATTTCATTTTCAAAATGACTGTTTTATGGGAAAAGAAAGAAAATGCATACATGAGATTTATAAAGAACTGTTTAAAAGAAACAGCTAAAAGAAAATACATCACTTTGAATGTTTTCACCTAAGCCATAGTGAGCATTTTATTTCTGCAGCGTCTTTTTCCATTTTCACTTTAAGAAAGAGTAAAAAGTTAGAGAAGGCCTGAAGATTTGTAGCTGAGAAAAAGGAGGGAGCAGAGGCTGCCTGATCCACACAGAATCCAGGATGGAGCGCGGACCTTTGGCTGTCACAACCTGCCTTCAGGTGGGCAGCTCCAGGGCTGCAAAGAGAAACGGCGTAGGGAGGAAAAGGGGAGGAGAGTGAGGGAGTCAGTTATGGGCATGGGAGAGCAGGAAGGGAAAGGAAAAAACAGAAAGGGCTATGGTCTTGTCACATGATCAGTCCATTGGTCGCTTTTCTCCGTGTTTCTTTGTAAACTCTTCGGCATTCTTCAAGAATTTTTTACGGTCCTTTGAGTATTCTTCTGCTATGTCTGCCCTCAGGGGGTGTTCTGGCTGAGGGTCGTTCACCAGAGCGATGAGGGACTGAATAACTGGAAGACAAAAACATATTTTATTAAACACACAGCATACGTCTGGTGTGTGTGTCATTTCAAAAGATACCTTTAAGTTCCACATGGATGGGATCTAAATAATTGTAACTTATTAGAATTTATTCTAACCCTAACCCATCTACATACCATTAATGAACACATGCTGACCAACCTGCTTCTCCTCTAACTGTTGTCAATTTGCACTGACATTTATCTTAGTGACACATAAAGCCGGGTGGACGCTGTGCAACTTTTTCCTTTGTAGCATTCAGCTCCATCTCTAACTGTACAACTTCCTCGCAGAGCCTAGCTAACGAGTCATCTTTTCACACTGAAGAACCAAGTGCTCGGATGCAGCTTGACTGCTCATACTGTACATCTGGTAGCAACACAATGGAACTGAAAATATGCTAAAAATAATAATTTTAACACAACACTTCAGACCTCCATCCATCATCCATCAGGGGCAGGGCCAGAGGGGGGTCTGGGGGGCACAGGCCACCCCTCCAGAAAGGCTGGCCACCCCTTGTGGGGTCAACAAAAACGTAAAATATATAAACAATTAAAACATTAAATATAAAACATATAAACAACAAAATCAAATGTAAGATGACATTTTCTAAGTGAAATTCAAAAGTCTGATTGTAAATGAATGCAGCACACCACTACAAGCAGTGGTCTCCATCCTCGTTTCTTGCAGGGTTCAGGAAGTAAAATTTAGGACCTTTATGCATGAAATTTAAGACCACCATGACAAAACAACAGCAACAATAAAATGGTACCAAAAATTCAAGACCTTTTATTTTTATCTACTTTATAATCAGACATTATATTTTTCTTTAATAATACCAATTAAATATTAAAAGATTAAGTTCCCATCAGTTCTCTCTCTCTCTCTCTCACACACACACACACACACACACACACACACACACACACACACACACACACACACACGAACAGTCACCCTCTCAACACAACATTATGTACTGTCAATGTCAGTGTCGGGAAAGTTCATTTTAGTTCAAAGTTCAGTTCATACATTTGAAAACAAACTAGTTCATGATATAAAATTTTTTGAACTACATTCACTGTTCTAAAAACGAACTAGTTCATATATATATATATATATATATATATATATATATATATATATATATATATATATATTAGGGGTGGGCCGTTATCGGCGTTAACGCACTGCGGCAAAGCCAGACTCTTATCGCGCGATAAAAAGAATGACGCCGTTAATCTATTCTCAAAGTTGGGTTGGGATCTGGGTCTATAAGCTATGATGACTTTCACATTGCGCGGATGGATACCTGGTTGGCGCGGATGTATACTCGGCGCGGATCATCGTACATATGGACGGACGCCAGGCTCGCGGAGTTTAATGTTCCCCATGCAGCCGAACAGTCGCACCTTCGCCACCAGCAGCGCTTCTCCCTTCTCATCGCGCGGGACAAGTAAATAATTTATGTACTTTCACCAGAGTTTAATCCATAAATCCGACTTTCATTCTTTTTATTTTGTTTTGTTTACCTCCGACATTTCCAGCCGGGCTTTCCCCGGGCCACACTTCACCGTCCGCGGCCGAAGCAGCACTCGGATGTGAGAAAACCGAGACAAGACTTTCTCAGACGGGTGCGGCTTCCAACTAAGTTTAGCTCTTTTAGCAGCTGTTTATTGTGATAAAGTGATAAATTGTTTCTACAGGTCGTTGTTCATGTGGCTTCGACTCAAATTCACCTGTAATAATAAACGTTTTACTCATAAAATTTTTATATTTGTTTAGAAAAGTTGAGCTAGGATAACTCCCCTTGCCGTTTTCAGAGACAACAACAGCAACAGTTAGCTTCTGCTCATACAGGTGAGCTGTGGCATCATTTCCAGCTCTCGCTCCCATTCACCAGAGGCGATCCTACATGCAAACTAAAGGGGGGCATTGGAAGGGCACCCCAGAAATTTAACCCCCTCCCCAGGCCAGATAGTTTGTGTGTGTGTATGTATGTATGTCTATGTGTAGGTATGTGTGTGTGTGTGTGTATGTATATATATATATATATATATATATTTTTTTTTTTCTTTAGCAGGCCATATTGTGCAGAAGAGAAGATCTACTTTGTCACCAGACAATGTGAACAAGCTGGTCTGCTTGAGTGACTGGTGGAAGAAGGAGAAATAGAGCTTGGACTGATTGACCAAATGCTACTGACTGTAAATAGTTAATCATGACCTATTCTGTAGACCTACAGTGCAGAATTTGTTGAACTGGATAAACAGCTATTAAACACAAATACTTATTGATCATTATTTATTTTCATCATCAGTTATCGTAGTAAAACTGCTTTATCAGTGATGCATTATTGAAACAAGAAATACGCCTCCATTCTCAAAGACTTGCTTTTATTCATTATCTAGGTAGCACACACATATGCCTTTGGCAGAATTTGAATGAGCCATTTTAATCTAGATTAATTCCAAGATTACAGTGAGATTAATCTAGATTAAAAAAAATTAATCTATGCCCACCACTAAAGTATATATATATATATATATATATATGATATATATATACATATATATATATACTGTCTATATAAGTTATAAAATTTTACAAAAAATATTGGTTGAAATTTGTTTCATTCACACCTAAAGACATATGAAAACAATTGTTAAAAAAAATCATGGTTGAAGATTTCATAATTCATGCATCAAAGGGTTAAAAACCTAAAATTCTGACTAATTAATGAGCATCAGACCCATGTGACTGTGGAGCTAGCTACGTGGAAAGGCCTCAGCCTGAGCCTCGGCCTCGCCTTAAAACTGTTCCGCGAGTTTCATTCTCTCAACTTAGACCATTAGATGTGCCATTTGTGCATTCTTTTTTGGATATTATTTGTGCAATTGTTGGGCAAAATGACTTGCTGTGGTATTAATTGCACTAATAGAGCGTCCAAGGAGTCTCCACTTCATTTTTTTCAGTAAGTAAAATTATATTTATGTATTTTAGATCACAGCCGCTCTTGCACTTGCTGAGCTTAGATTTTAACATGTACTGTTTAACAATGACATTTAAATGTCATAAGGTAAAACCCTTAGTTTTCTTAAGAGGGGTTGGACTTTCTACCACTCTGGAGTTGCTCCCACTGAGAGGCGCCAAGCAGGGGTGGGCATACTAGTTGCCCCCCATCTTGATGCCTGTAAGTTGGGGTTTACCCCAGCGAATGAGAGGGTAGCCTCTCTCCGCCTAAGTGTGGGGGGACGGGTTCTGACTGTGGTCTGTGCTTATGGACCAAACTACAGTTCAGACTACCCACCCTTTTTGGAGACCTTAGAGGGGGTGCTGGAAAGCGCTCCTTCTGGTGACTCCCTCATTCTGCTGGGGACTTTAACGCTCACGTGGGAAATGACAGTGAGACCTGGAGAGGTGTGGTTGGGAGGAACGGCCCCCCCCCGATCTGAATTCGAGTGTTTTGTTATTGGACTTCTGTGCAAGTCATGGATTGTCCATAATGAACACCATGTTCAGACATAAAGGTGTCCATATGTTCTCTTGGCACCAGGATACCTTAGGCTGCAGCTCGATGATCGACTTTGTTGTTGTTTCATCTGACCTGCGGCTGCATGTCTTGGACACTCGGGTGAACAGAGGGGCGGAGCTGTCAACTGACCACTACCTGGTGGTGAGTTGGCTCAGATGGTGGGGAGGATGCCGGTCAGACCAGGCAGGCCTAAACGTATCGCAAGGCTCTGCTGGGAACGTCTGGCAGAGTATCCTGTCAGAAGGAGCATCAATTCCCACCTCCGACAGAACTTCCAAAATGTTCCGGGGGAGGTGGGGGACATTGAGTCTGAATGGACCCTGTTCCGTGCCTCCATTATTGAGGCGGCCGACTGGAGCTGTGGTCACAGGATGGTTTGTGCCTGTGGTGGCAACCCCCGAACCCGCTAGTGGACACCGGTAGTTAGGGATGCTGTCAAGCTGAAGAAAGAGTCCTATCAGGTCTTTTTGGCCTGTGGGACTCCAGAGGCAACTGACGGGTACTGGCAGTCCAAGCGGAACACGGCTCGGGTGGTCGCCAGGGCAAAAACACGGGCAAGGGAGGAGTTCGGTGAGACCATGGAGCAAGACTTCCGTACGGCTTCGAGGAGATTCTGGTCCACCATCCGGCGCCTCAGAGGGGGAAAGCAGTGCGCTACCAACACTATCTATAGTGGGGACGGTATGTTGCTGACCTCTACTCAGGACATTGTGGATCGGTGGGCAGAATACTTCAAAGACCTCCTCAATCCCACCGACATGTCTTCCAGTGAAGAAGCAGAGTCTGGGGACTTTGGGTTGGCCTCTAAAATCTCTGGTGCTGAGGTCACTGAGGTGGTTAAAAAGCTCCTCTGTGGCAAGGCTCCGGGGGTGGATGAGATCCGCCCAGAGTTCCTTAAGGCTCTGGATGTTGTGGGGCTGTGTTGGCTGACGTGGCTCTGCAATATCCCGTGGACATCAAGGGCAGTCCCACTGGACTGGCAGACCGGGGTGGTGGCCCTCTTATTTAAAAAGGGGGGCCGCAGGGTGTGTTCCAACGACAGGGGGATCACACTCCTAAGCCTTCCTGGTAAGGTATATTCAGGGCGTCTGGAGAGGATGGTCCATCGGATTGTTGAACCTCAGATTCAGGAGGAGCAATGTGGTTGTCGTCCTGGTTGTGGAACACTGGACCAGCTCTATACCCTTAGGGGGATCCTGGAGGGTGCATAGGAATTTGCCCAACCAGTCTACATTTGTTTTGTGGATTTGGAGAAGGCATTTGACCGCGTCCCTCGGGGGGCCCTTTGGGGGGTAGTCCGGGAGTATGGGGTACCAGGCCCTCTGATACGGGCTGTTAGGTCCCTGTATGACCGGTGTCAGAGCTTGGTCTGCATTGCCGGCAGTAAGTCGGGCTCGTTCCCAGCGAGAGTTGGACTCTGCCAAGGCTGTCCTTTGTCACCGATTCTGTTCATAA